GTAGAAATGAAGACCAGGAAGCGACACTCACCTCACGTTGTCGGCGCACGTCGCTGTGGCAAACAAAACACACACCAAAAAAGTTTTTTCAACGATAGCAGCTCAGCGGCACCAGCACGCCGACGGCAGGTCTGCGCCTCATTGATGGCAACTTCAAGGTGGAAGCTGCTCCGTCCATCTGCCGGTTGTCAAGACGCCTGAAGCACGGCGGCTCGCGCCAGCGACCCTTCCTCGGTTCGGCCTGGTTTGATTTCGTGTGGTTCCAGTATGAGAGCAGCCAATGGAGGGAAGCAAAATACGGCGGGCGTTGAGAGGGAAGAGGCGAGCACGTGACGCATACGTCACTGACGGTGGAGTTGGCGTGAGAGCCCCCAGTGAGAGAAAGAGGCGTCCCGCCGTCAATCGAACCTCAGACATCGGATGGGCCGGAGTTCAACGTCCCGGCCGGCACTCTTCAACCGCATGCAGTGCAGCTAAAAAACACCATTAACACACCTGTCTCCCCAGGTGACCTCTCTTAAAGACACAGAACCATAGCAGTCGTTCGTTCTTCTTTCAAATGGCAAGCAAAAACAAAATAGTCACACACATGACTCTATTTTGTTTTTTGATTCTTAATCAAAACTCATTCAAGTTTAGACTTGGTTCCAGTGGACCAGCCTCATTGACATTTGCAGCCAGCTGTCAAATTTGGAACTTTGTGACACCCCAAAATCGTGAAAAATCCAAAAGTTTGCAGATTTTGAAAAAAGATTTTTGAAATTGAGATATCTGTAACTACATTCCTGCTGTCTACAGTTAATCATTTATTCAAGGATAGTGTAACATCACTTTTGTCATTGGTGTTATTCGGTGTCTCATTACAGATATCTACAATCCAGTGAACCGCTAGAGAATTACAGATATATGCAACATAAATGGAGATACTTTGTTTCTCCTACTTAAAACTTATTTTAGATAAAAGAAACTTGAGTTGAGCGAATACTGTATCTTCAACTGGAAATAACAACTAGTCAGAAGGAAATTGTCAATATCTCAAATAGAATAGATATTCCGTCACAAATTACTTGTAAATCATATTGCAGACACCTGTAATTGAATTACAGGTACAAACAATATCAGCCAAAGGCAAAATGACTTTGCAGATCTCTGTGATGGAGTTTAGACACAATACAGCGCTTTCTTTCTGTTGTGTGGACATGGAATTCCTTAAGAGGCACTTAAAATGGTGACAGGTGTGTTCTGACTCCTGTTTCGTAGGTTTGAATGTGATTGATTCATGTTGAACTCAGCCACATCTCGATCATATGAGGGTGCACACACTTGTGCAACCACATTATTTCATCCTTCCATCCGTCCATTTTCTGGTCCGCTTATCTTCACAAGGGTCGCGGGCGTGCTGGAGTCTATCCCAGCTGTCTTCGGGTCGTAGGCAGGGTACACCCTGAACTGGTTGCCAGCCAATCGCAGGGCACACATAGACGAACAACCATCTGTGCTCACACTCACACCTAGGGACAATATAGAATGTTCCATTAACCTGTCACGCATGTTTTTGGAATGTGGGAGGAAACCGCAGTACCCGGAGAAAATCCACGCAGGTACGGAGAGAACATGAAAACCCCACACAGGAAGGCTGGAGCTGGAATCGAACCCTGCACCTCTGCACTGTGAGGCCGACGCGTTAAGCAGTCAGCCACTGGGCCGCACTACATTATTTCAGTTTTTCCTTCTAACCTCACTCTCAAAGAGAGATACATAAAACACGATTCCGTTGTACAGCTTGTTGGCCATATTAATGGTGGAAAAAGTATTAAATGATTTATCTTGATCTAATTTTGACATTACAAAAATTTGGCATTTGAATAGCAGTGTGTAAACTTTTCATATCCACTCTAACTTCCATGTGTAGGAATGAAAAAATTGCTGTCCTTCTTTATTTTTCGAAAAAAAATGTCATAATCCTATTATAAATTCTTGTTTTTTTAGAAAAAAAAGGTGTAATGCAATAACAATACTCTAAAGTCATATAAAAAAATAATCATCTTCCCCAAAATAAATACATACATTTTTTTAATAGAAAAAAAATCTTAAATACATATTTTGTTAGGATAAAAAGTGTGAAAAACAAAGTCATATCTTTCCAAGATAAATTTGCAATAATATGACACCTAATTCAATGTATAACAAGGAAAGAACGTAATATTTTAATAACTGCATTCCCAAAATAAACTTGATTCCCCTAATGTCATGCTGTTTGTTCTAAAAAAAGAAACATTGGATTATGGCGGCCTGGTGGTCCAGTGGTTAGCACATCGACCTCACAGTGCAGAGGTACTGGGTTCAGTTCCAACTCCGGCCTTCCTGTGTGGAGTTTGCTTGTTCTCCCCGGGCCTGTGTGGGTTTTCTCCGGGTACTCCGGTTTCTTCCCACATTCCAAAAACGTGCATGGCAGGCGGATTGAACACTCTAAATTACCCGATTACTCGTCTCTGTGTCCCCTCCGATTGGCTGGCAACTGGTTCAGGGTGTCCCCCGCCTACTGCCCAACGACAGCTGGGATAGGCTCCAGCACCCCCGCGACCCTTGTGAGGATAAAGTGGCTGTGAAAATGGATGGATGGATGTTAGACTATAGTTTAAACCAAACACATTTAGTTGCCAGTTGGCTGAAAAAAAAACAGCCTACATTCCTAAAACAAGCACTTTTTAAAAAATGATAGGACAATTTATTGCAAATTATTTTGTGGACCCCCAAGCTGGGGTCTGCGGGACAGTTTGAGAACCAGTGGCCGAGAAAACTAAATACAACTGGAGGAGAAAAAAGAATCGAACCATTTGAGATTGTAATTTTCAATATGACTGTGATGAAATGCATCAAAAGCTCAAAACACTGCAAGTCGTGCCTCAGTGAGTCATATTACTCTTCTGAGGAAAATCGGCAAGCACTTAGACAAGGATGCAAACCGGAAGCAGGTTTTTGGTGTTTGTCAGTGGTGGTAGGGTATGTAAACGGAACCACGCCTGAGCATCAAATTAAGCAGCCAGTATGTTTTACATTGAGGCATGTTTCCAATCACATTTGCAAGTTAACCTCCTTAAATATCACGGAACTTTGAAGCTTGGTAGCCTAAGGGATGATGAGTTCTTGTCTAACTGTTAATGTAGTCTGCCGTGTGCGCACCTAAAATGATCAAACTAACATTGGTGTTGAAAACAGTTCCTTGTTTCGTTCAACTCATCGCCTATCCAAATAGCCCCTTTGCCAGTTTATTAGGTAAACACAGCCTAATGAAATTCTAATATTTGCTTCTTTTCTTGTTTGGATGATCTACTTCATGATAAAGTATTACATGTGCTCGCTTCAAAGTAAACGATGGTAGGCAGTCCAAATTCCAAAATACATACCAGATATTTATCACATAGTCGTGATGGGCCATACCAGACAATTTTGATTCAACACAGTGCTGATTCATCCATCCATCTATCCATTACCTGATCGTCGCGGGCGTGCTGGAGCCTATCCCAGCTGTCTTCGGGCAGTAGGCAGGCTACACCCAGAACTGGTTGCCAGACAATCACAGGGCACACAAAGACGAACAACCTGCCACGCTCACACTCACACCGATGGACAATTTAGAATGTACCATTAACCTGATATGCATCTACCCAGACAAAACCCACGCATGCCCGGGGAGAACAAACTCCACACAATAATTGTCCATTTAACAAGTGTAATGTGTTTTGTTCACAGCATATTAGTGATAAGGAATTACTTTTTAATGTTTTATCAATGATATGTAAAAGAGTAAACCTCAAATGGCACACTTGAACTTTACTTAATATAACTTTACACTAGCTACCATTATATTTAAATCAATAAAGTAAGTAAAGTGTCATAAAAAGTAGGGTACAAACGATGTAAAAGGGTAGTAATAATAATAACAAAGGGTATAAAATGTAGCTTGAAATGAGGTTTTCAAACTTTGGTTAGAATTTGAAAGCATGGTTTGAAACTAGGATTAGGATTTCAAATTAAGGTTTTAAACTAGTGTTTGGGTTTCAAAGTATGGTTTTAAACTAGGATAAGGATTTCAAATTAGAGTTTTAAACCAGCGTTAGTGTTTCAAAGTCGGATTTTGATCTGGGGTTATAATTTCAAATTTGGGTTTGTGTTTCAAAACAGGTTTTTAAACTGGGGTTAGGATTTAAAATTAGGGCTTTAAACCAGGGGCATGCAGATGGTGAGGCCACTGCCATTCACCTGATAGGACGGACATCTACAACAGCTTTTTTTTCGCTAACAGTTTGGTCATACGCAACAATAATGATATTTTAGCTGTACGAGTCCCTGCTATCCTCCTCCAACACTGTCATTTCTAAATTTCCACCAATGCAAGTTAGAAGAAAAGTTAGAGAAAACTAAGGTAGGTGGCACTCTTTTATTTTTGGTGCAGAAGATCAACACACAATAATATTAGGAAAATGTCACTGGGGATCTACTGTATTTTTCAAACATCCCCGCAGGTTAATCATATGGCCCTTGGGGCTACCTGCTGATCGTGAGCATCATGTTGACGATCCCTGCCTTAAAGTATTTACAGACAGTTGACGGCTGGCTCTGACTCCACCCCACCACAAAAGCATATGTCAGGCTGGTAAAGTGGTATTGGTGTTGTGGTATTGGAGCATTTTTTTTTCTTGAGTCCGCATATAAGTACAGAGAGGTGCAGAATCGGTCCTGGTTTCAGGGCATCCCTATCAACAACTGCAATAAGTTAGACCTGAGGAAGTCAGTGTTGCGCTTTAAATTAAATATTTTGGTAAACAATGCATTAATTCCTTTATTTATTGGAAAAGATGTAATGACTCGTAAGCGCGTTCGTGTGACTGAAATAGGTTTACATTTATTGACCACTTGGTGTCGCTGTAGATTTTCTGGACCTTTATGGCAATAGAAACGCAAGGACGTCGCCATCCATGATTGGCTAACTCCAGCCGGGGTCAACCTACACTGCGCATGCTCAGTCGGCCTTTTGAGTCAAGCGTCTGAAATCTGTCAGATCAGCGGACTGTCCTAACTCTTAAAACCTTCCTATACAGCACAACACCAATCGCATTTACTCCGCGCCAGATACTTTTATTTACTTTAAGGCGCCTTTAGTTTGTATTTTTTGTTATTCGACGTGTGTGACGTACAGAAGCTGTAAAGAATGACGAGCAGCTCAAAGCGGAAAGAAGAAAGTCATCTGCTGAATGGGGGTGTCAAACACTCCACATGGAGCAAAGCGTTCAACAGCAATGCAGTTTGGGAGGAGAAGGTCAGTCAGCAGCGCTTTAAAAAAACGTAACCAGTCTTATTGACGGATTTTGTTTTGCGTAAAACACCTGGTTTGTTGTCCATTGCATCAGAGGCAAATAATAGTGATTTTGCGGTGATGTTAAAATCGTTCATAATCGACTCAGATTAGCCAATCTAAATGAACAGTTTTGAATTTGCTGAATGCATATTTGGTTTTGCATTCTCAAAGTGATCGGTCAAAATATTCTTAATTTTGACAGCTGAATCTGTTTTTTTTTTTTAACCCAAAGACAAAACCCCCCAAAATATCCAGTTCGTAATCTAGAAATGGATTGTGATGGAGTGTGTAAAACTAGTACAATAAAGTAATATTTTAATATGCAATGAGATATAAATAAGTAAATATAAACAGGCTGCTGTAAATATTGTGTTTCTGCAATGTAACTTAATTCATCTTTATAGAGCACCTTTAAAAACAATAAAAAAGCTGAAAACATAGAAGACACTAAAATAAGGGCAGAGTCTTCTGCTGTGTTGACAGATAAGGAATAGAAATTGGGTTTCAGGTGTTTTCTAAAAAATGGACATTGAGGGAGGCCTTTCCTTTTCTAATGTGCACCTGTATGTCATTGTAAAGTTTGGGAACAGCAATAGAAAAAGCTCGATCCCCTCTGAGCGTTCGCTTAGACTTGGGTCCCTCTATGTCTTAGGATGCATGATGCATCCGGCAGGAGTGTTGGGATGTAGCAACTCAGAGAGCTAAGGTGGGAGGAGACCTTTCTGAGATTTGCAAGCAAACAGCAGAATATTAAAATGAATTCTTATGCAGAGGGAGCCAATAGAGGAAGGACAGAATAGGAGGTGTTTGCTCCCTCTTATGTGTTTCAGTTCATCTGCGAGCTGCAGCATTTCAAACTAATGAATTATTATTAGCAAACGTCTACGATTTCAGGAAACAAAACATGTTTATTTGACTGAGACAGTGAGAAACAAAACATGCGCATGGTGATGTGTTGCAGGGATCTAACTGATAATGCACCATTATGCTTAATTTTTCTTCTCTGAATCTTTGAAGGATGAGTTTTTAGATGTGATTTACTGGCTCCGGCAAATCATTGCAGTGATCCTTGGTGTCATCTGGGGAGTCGCCCCACTGAAAGGATTTCTGGGAATAGCCATGTAAGTAAGCATTGTTCAACCCGTCTTTTCTTCATATTTCATCAGCTTGACGCTGCGGGCTAATTTTCTCGTTATGTTTTTGCCTCATTAGATTCTGTGTCATCAATGCGGGCGTCCTCTACGTATACTTCAGCAGCTTTCAGCAGATAGATGAGGAAGAATACGGTGGAACGTGGGAGCTCACCAAAGAAGGCTTCATGACATCTTTTGCTCTGTTTCTGGTCAGGGAATATTTCATGATGCATGCATAGAACACCTGAAAACCATCTTTTAGGCTTGTAAAATTTGTGCTTTGTTGTTTTATAAAAGAAGGATTATTTATTTCGTGTGATTAAAAAAAAATGTGTCCGATAAAATGGGATTTAGGTGGTTACAGTCCTACTGACAATACCTTACTTTCAGTATACTATACAGTATAACAAAATATATTCATGATCGAGAGATGAAAATTGTTGCTCTTGTGCGTATGAATCAACAGTTCAAGCTTGCCATTATTGGACTCGGCTCAATAATTAATATCTCCCATTGTTTGTCTTTCTCAGGTGGTGTGGATTATCTTTTACACAGCCCTACACTTTGACTGAAAGCTATTCCACCCAACAATTTATATGAACATTTGTGTCAAGAAGCAGGAACTCTCTGTCTTAAAGGGTGCTGATGTGGCCACAAACAGTATGACTCCTCAGTGTGCACTACATAATGGAAATAATTGGTTGAAGATGGACATGATTTAATCAGTTTCTGTTGTCGCTGGGCTACATTTTATGGGTGACAAACCTTCACATTTGTCATTCTTCCTCCCTTGTGTCGTAGTCACCATGGCTGACAAAACTTTAAAAAACATTGTGGCTCTGGTTCAATTTCGAATGAATCAAAGCCTTGTTAGGAAATGGAGTATAGATGCTATTCTTTTGACTGACTTATCTGCTGGAGAACATGCATATTGGCATCTGTTAGTACAATATATTCAGTTCATTGTACCGGTTTAACTCCCACGCTGGTCCCTCAGGTGCAGATAATACAGCTCATTTTCTTCCTGACCGTCACTCGGGTAATGTTGATGCTATTTGTTGCTTTTAGGATAAATCACACCGGTTGAATGCATTGATATTGATACAGTTTTTTTTTTTTTTTTACTGTCATACCAAGTGTGTCAGAAAACATCACAGGACTGGTGTCACAAAAGATATTTCAAATTCATGTTGCATGACTATTGCCTTCATGGGCAGGAACTGTCAGATGTTTAGGGCATTGTGAGCAGTTGCCTTTTAACTGCCACAACTTGAGCTGCTCCTTGTGCACTGAACCAAGTAAACATCATAGGATCCCTTCCCTTTCAAGATGGTTTTGAAATATATCTTTCGTGACACCAGTACCGAATCTGTACCGACACACCTCGGATTATGCCTTTGCAATTTAATTGCTAGATTGTGTTTTTTTTTTTTTTTTTTTTGTCAATTGTCTTGTCTATTTGAATTGATCAAAAATTTCAGTTGGACTGCAGTAAGTTGATGTTTACCATCTGCTTCAAGTGTGTATGGTTTTAATAGTGGCTGCATTTTAGTATTGCTTTAACTCATTCTACCAGCCTCGATCTATCTGTCTATACAGTATATTAATCACAATCTGTCCATCCAGTGAGGAGGAAACTTAATTTTTGTAAGCTAAACTTGGCCTGTGCACACCAAGACAAACTGTTCGTATATCTCAGTGTGTCATTTATCAATGACTAGCAAAAGAGGGCATAGAAATAATTTAATGTAGCTTGCAGATCAATCTTACTTCTTGTTTTGAAATTTAAGGTATTTTGTAAATTCTGTTGAGCGAAGCTGTCGTCAAACTCAAATCGATGTACTTGCGTTACCTCTCACAGGATGTAACATTGCTCAGTGTTTTATAGTTGAGAACTTTTGATCTCAGTTCTGACAAAGTTGTAATGAAACTGTTTTTTATATATATATATATATATATATATATATGCGCATATGCATGCAGATTGTGGTTGAAACGATCGCGTTTTCTGATCAAATCTTTTGGGAATCATTAAACATGGGCTTCATTTGGCCTCCATTTTCAATGATTTTGTCTGTTTTATTTTTACCCATTGTTGACATAAATGACTGGGAACAAAAAGCATCGACTGTTCAGCGACTATTTTTATAACAGAAAAGGCTCAATTGAGACTGTGCGGATGGAACGGAAATTTTCTCAAACTATTTTCGTTGCGGGAGGGGGGTGGATGCATTGTTCCCTGGGTGGTGAATTTTAAAAAGGAGGATACCTCATTCTTTTCACAAACTGTCTTGAAATGCTCCATTCTTTGAACAAATATTCTTTTTAATGGAACACCTGAAAACAGATTTTTGGGTGTTGGAATTTTGTTGCTTTTCGCCCATTTCAAAGACTTTGTGATTAATTATTGTACAAATAAAAGCAGTATTGTAGTTCCAGTTCTCTTGGGCAGTGAATGAATTAAAAAGAAGAGAAACAAAGTACGGGGAGGGACTTAATTGATTTCCGTGATAATTATTGTTTGAAAACCTGAACGCTTCGAAACCAAATGAAATGAAGACGCTTCCGGGCAAAGTGAGGCTTGGCGGTAGTGACGTCACCAAAGAGGAATACGTTGTGACGTAATTCCAAGATGGCGGGCACGCGTTCCACGATGAAATTTTGGAAGCCCGGTACGTTAGTTAAGTGTGTGTTGATTGGCATCGTTTTTTTGTATGTTTGATTCCAAATTCACTCGCTTGTCAGCTTTACAAGCCACTCAGCCTTTGCGGGGGTCTTATGCCTCAATCCGGAATGTATGCGGTATGTGCAGCCAATTCTGGGGAGTCGCTTTTCAAATTAAAATACGGGGTGCAAAGTACAGTCGCGAGTTATCTGTCGTTCCTCTGGTGATGCGTTTGCACTGCATGCATTGGTTTCGTCAATTCCTTGTTCGTTTCTTGGGTGTTCAGGGTCCGAGGCACCTGGGATCTCCGAGGAACGTGAACTAAACACCGAGACCAGCGGTTCCACCGTCGTCTTCAATCCTTTCATTTCACTCTCCATCGAGAAACAGAGACAGAAGCTCCCCGTTTTCAAGGTGGCCCTAAGACCTTACTACATGTCTTTATCTGGGTCTCAAGGCACAGCGAGCTCATCATGGACCAACTGATTGTCTTTCCAGCACAGAAACAACATCCTGTACTTGGTAGAAAGCTATCAGACTGTCATCATAGTTGGGGAAACTGGATGTGGAAAGACGACACAGATCCCCCAGGTTTGTGCAACATTTTTACAACATAGAAGTGATGCAAAACAATGCATTAGTTTTGATTTATTATTCAATGAGTCTACATGCTGAGGGAGAAAAGGGAGGGAGTCATGAGGTGGGCTACACCATTTGATTTGACAGTTGCTCTGCAAGCTTGGAATATGAGTGACCGGACCACGATTTTTTCGAGGTACAAGCCATCATTTGGCCAATTATTATTTTTTGCTTGTATGTGTGAGTGCACACTTAAAATACAAGCAACACATGATGAGGAAGTAGTTCTCATCCTAGGTCATTGATGGTCTACACCAGGGGTGCCCAAACTTTGTGGACCGAAGATCTACTTTTCGTTCAATCAACCTCCCCGGATTGCCCCTTACCTCGCACGCACGCGCGCGCGTGCGCCATAATGCGAAGCCAAACACGGAACCAAGCGATGCACTTTTGCAGCCTGTTGACTATCGTAGCTCACACGTACCGTTTTAAAGTGCTTCCCTCAGCCCTCTAGATTCCTATTCTTTGCCCGTGCCCCCGATGAATTGTACACGAAGCAAACTCTGAATGAGAATAATGACGATCAAAGATATAGCGCAACAGCTCTGATCACAAGCTGCAATTGCAGACTGCTGAGCGCTAACAACTTCCGCTGACGTAGTCACGTGCCACCGTAGGTTAAAGATGTATATGCTTTATTTTATTTTATTTTTAAAATATTTCTTTGGGAAAATGAGACTGATAGGATGATTAGGGTGCAGTGTACATTAACACAAAAAATATATTACTAACATTCTACAAAGACACGTAAATGTTTTTTTTTCTCCTCTACACCTTTCGGATCTAATTGGGACGAGTCCTAGATCTACCGGTAGATCAGGATCGACGTAATGGGCACCCCTGGTCTACACCGTTTGGGCTGCTGTGTGAGGCCTTGCCTTGTCATGATGCAAGATGACTCTTTCTGACTGATGACCCCTGCGTTTGTTCGTTATGTCTTTCTTGACCTGCCTCAGCGGTTCACAGTAGTTGGCGCGAAGTTTGAAAGGGACGATGAAGTTAAAAGTGTTGATACATGATGCATCAATCCAAATATTTTTATGCTGAAGGAAATATGCTTTTGCACAGATGGGAAAAGTGTGTGCCAGTGCTGGGAGACTATGTTGAAAAGAAAGTCAGCTTCCATCTGTATTAGAAGTCCTTATACTGAAAAATTCACCTTATTTATTGAATGACCCTTGGACAATACTCACTGACATCATGTATATTCTTTATCCTGTATGAAAAATAACTAATCCGAACTTTTTGAGTTGTCGTCGAGGTATGTTCTTCATTTATGTCTACATAAAAGTATCACACAATGCTTCCCGGTGGCCAAGGTGGGCACATGAGAAGGAGCAGCACACTGAATTGGATTGCAGCATTAAATCATGATGCATAAAACTGTTTAAGTCATTATGTTCTATTTAATTGTTATTTTGTTTTTATAAACTACAATATTGTAGAATGCTATTTTTCCTTTTTTAAAAAAAACTACATGTTTTTTGAAGGGGAGGCTTGAATGGATTAATGGCAGTTCCCTTCAGTGGGGAAAGATGATTTAAGATGTAAATGTTTTGAGTTGTGAACATGGTCACGGAACGAATTCAATTAATATGTCAAAGCACCACTGTATATGCACTTCCTACTTTGTCAAGAAAAGGCTTGTTACTTTTTTCTATGGATGCCAACATGCCTTAAAAAATACAGAGAGGTAAAGTCTGATTGAGATCTTGATTGATTGAAATCTTCGGGTCAGGTAGAAAAAAGGGGACAGGATTTTTTTTTTTTTTACTATGACACTGGAATAGAATCAGTATCTTTACTTTCACCAGCCTCTTAAAAATATGTTTTTATTTATTTGTTTAAAACGAGTATCTCAACTTTTACTTAAGTACAGAATAGAATGTGAGCACTGTTCCAAATCAGCTGAGCGGTGATGTCCTCAAGTGTGACTTGAACTCAACTTGACCTCTTCTCTGTGGTGTGGTCCGGGTTTGTGTTGCGTCAGCGCTCCTGCAACATTGATGTCATTCTACTCTGCTCATTCTGCAGCTATCTTTTTGAATTTATCTACCCTCAGTACCTGCTGGAAGCTGGCTGGGCGGCTGAGGGGAGGGTGATTGGAGTGACACAGCCTCGACGTGTGGCTGCTATCTCTGTAAGAGCTCTGCAGATGTCCCATAGTTTGCCTTTTCTTTCTCAGAGTCCTTTCACTCAAGGAAAATCAGTTCAACACTCAAGGACGTGGCCGCTTCAAGCACTTTTACTTTCCCTTGTCGTTAGGTGGCTAGCCGTGTTGCAGAAGAGAGAGCCGCCCGGTTAGGACATGAGGTGGGCTACACCATTCGATTTGACGACTGCTCTGACCCCCAAGCCACAAGGATCAAGGTATTCACAAACACATGGCAAACTGTTTTTATGCAGGGGTGCCTTGAAATACGAGACACTCAACTCAATCCTATCATTAAATAGCATCTACGTTGCAGTGCTATTAGCCTCAAAGCAATGGCTTGAGCACAAACGGTGCAGTAGGACATATAGACAGACAATACAACAGTACTCAGTCATATATTCTTGATCCTCTACAAATAAAAAAACATATGACTGGCCTTGCTGATGAGCTGAGGGGAGTTGACGTCTCAATTAACAGTATATGTGTCTGTCTCTTATGCTGCCCCCAGGTGGCCAATGTATGCACACCAGGAGGAGCAGCGCAGTGGCCAGTCATTTGATAAAATGTGTTAAAAATGTTATTTTGCATTCTATTTCATTATGTCATTACCATGGGTTTGTATGAAGTACTGTGTCATATTATGGAGCGATGCTTTCCCTGATTAAAATACACATGACAATTTTTCTTGTTTTTGGGGGTAAGGCTAGAATGAATTAACGGCATCTCCATTCATTTCAATGGGGATAGATGATTTGATATTTCATTGTTTTGACCAATTAAATTTACCTATTCTCAAGGCACAACTGTAAAGTGCACACATAACGTAATAACACAACGTTGATCTCTTCCTATGCCTTTGGGCTTCAGTTCCTGACAGATGGAATATTAGTCCGGGAGATGATGGCCGATCCGCTGCTTAAAAAATACAGGTAGTGCCATGAAACCGCAAAGTTGACCTGCTTTAGTGGCTCCTCGTAGCTGTAATGTTTTCTGCTTTGGTGTCTGTCTTTCGCAGTGTCCTGATGCTGGATGAAGCGCACGAGAGAACCCTGTACACAGACATAGCCATCGGCCTGCTTAAGAAGGTACCACAAGTTCAAATTATAAGTCAGGGGTGTCAAACTGGTTTTCATTACTAGTATGTTTCATGTGGGAAGCCTATTGCCACTGCCTTTGATTTTTATAATTTTATGACTAGTATTGAAACTTTGTGGCAAGCAGTCCGGGGGCTTTCCTCTTATTTCACTTTCATGAGCCTTGCGAATCTTTTTCTTGATCAGATCCAGAAGAAACGTCGAGACCTGCGGCTGATTGTGGCCTCTGCCACTTTAGATGCCAAGGTAACTACATCATTCAGATTGTGTGAGAGGCTGGAATAGTGAAAAAAAGTCATTGCCAGGTCAGATTTCTTTGGACTGACAATGCGATACAATGCAGTGTTCAATGTCAGCTGAAATGTCAATGTTGTCTACATGTGCAAGTTACTCAGTCAGATTGGGATGTACGTTTCAGATACAGAGCTGTGCCTCGGGGGGGTAGACTGAATGGTGTGTTCACTTCCCAGCTCCACTGTGCCAATGTGTCCTTGACAGTGAATCGATGATTTGCAAGCAGTATTGTCACAGGTCCAAAGTTCTGGCTCCGTACTACAAAAAAAAAAAGTTGTGTGTGCGCGCGCGCGTGTGTGTGTGTGTGTGTGTGTGTGTGTGTGTGTGTGTGTGT